CATAGTCACACTTTAATTCATGACCACACTCTAATACATGACACACTTTAATTCATGGTCACACTCCAGTCCAAAGTCACACTTTAATTCATGACCACACTCTAATACATGACACACTTTAATCCATGGTCACACTCCAGTCCTTAGTCACACTGTAATCCATGGTCACACTCCAGTCCTTAGTCACACTGTAATCCATGACCACACACTAATACATGACACACTGTAATCCACGACCACACTCTAATACATGGCCCCACTGTAATCCATGGTCACACTCCAGTCCTTAGTCACACTGTAATCCATGACCACACTCTAATACATGACCCACTGTAATCCACGACCACACTCTAATACATGGCCCCACTGTAATCCATGGTCACACTCCAGTCCATAGTCACACTTTAATTCATGACCACACTCTAAAAGTGACACACTGTAATCCACGACCACACTCTAAAACATGACACACTGTAATCCATGACCACACTCTAAAACATGACACACTGTAATCCACGACCACACTCTAAGCTGTCCCTGCAAGGATGTGGCGTTCCAGTAACGCTCTAGCACACCTTGAATAATTATGAATGTGGAGAGGGGAAGGAGGGCTCTGTGACAGTGGCCCCGCAGACAAAGCCCGTGCCTCGGGGCTTGTAGGAATTCTTTCTAGCTCATCCCGACAGAGGTTAGACGTATTCTGTCGTTCTATCTCATCCTGATAGAGGTCAGACGTATTCTGTCGTTCTATCTCATCTCGTCTGTCGTTCTATCTCATCTCGTCTGTCGTTCTATCTTATCCCGTCTGTCGTTCTATCTCATCCCGTCTGTCGTTCTATCTCATCCCGTCTGTCGTTCTATCTCATTCCTTCTGTCGTTCTATCTCATCCCGTCTGTCGTTCTATCTCATTCCTTCTGTCGTTCTATCTCATCCCGTCTGTTCCTACCTCAGTCAGGCTGTTCCTACCGCACTCAGGCTGTTGCTACCTCAGTCAGGTTGTTCCTACCTCAGTCAGGCTGTTCCTACCTCAGTCAGGCTGTTCCTACCTCGGTCAGACTGTTCCTACCTCAGTCAGGCTGTTCCTACCTCAGTCAGGCAGTTCCTACCGCACTCAGGCTGTTGCTACCTCAGTCAGGCTGTTCCTACCGCACTCAGGCTGTTCCTACCTCAGTCAGGCTGTTCCTACCTCAGTCAGACTGTTCATACCTCAGTCAGACTGTTCCTATCTCAGGCAGACTGTTCCTACCTAGGTCAGACTGTTCCTACCTCAGTCAGACTGTTCCTACCTCAGTCAGACTGTTCCTATCTCAGTCAGACTGTTCCTATCTCAGTCAGACTGTTCCTATCTCAGTCAGACTGTTCCTACTTCAGTCAGGCTGTTCCTACCTCAGTCAGACTGTTCCTACCTCGGTCAGACTGTTCCTACCTCAGTCAGACTGTTCCTACCTCGGTCAGACTGTTCCTACCTCGGTCAGACTGTTCCTACCTCGGTCAGACTGTTCCTACCTCAGTCAGACTGTTCCTACCTCAGTCAGACTGTTCCTACCTCAGTCAGACTGTTCCTACCTCAGTCAGACTGTTCCTACCTCAGTCAGACTGTTCCTACCTCAGTCAGGCTGTTCCTACCTCAGTCAGGCTGTTCCCACCTCAGTCAGGACAAAGCTGTCTTGTAGAACTGGTCTGCACCATGGCTTTTATCTAGGCCTCCTCCTTGTCATTTGCGTTTTCTGACACACAAAAAGTATCGAAGAAGACACAGGATCAACTGACAGAGCTTAAGAAACAGAGTAAATCAACGGCAAACGATTGTAAAAGAACAGAAAGAAACACGATTTAAGATAAAAAAACATGAAGGAAGGAAGGTATTAAGACATTAGTAAATAAAGAAACAACATAAAGGCATTGAGTGAAAATAAAACCAAAAGAAACGAAAATGTAAATAGAAGAAAGGAAACAAACAAGGTAAACAATTAAACCGTCTCAGTAAACATACAACATAGATAATTTAACTCCTGTCCGTCCTGCTTGTTTCTCTTTTTCTCACGTGCACACGTGCTCACTGTTCTTTAGTTCAAAGAGAGGGAGGGGGGGGGGGGTTAAGGGGGTTGTGCTTCTCCCGTCTCATTCTTATCGCACTCCTATGAGAGTACTTTTACTCACACAGAACAGCACTGTGCTAAAGAATGGATCGGTCGTTGCTTGCATACATAATACCTCAACCTAAACTGGTCTCAATCAACCCACGTTTATTGTTTCATGTAACAGCTCCACACCTGCTCCCTCACATACTCTCTTCTTCTTTTCTCTGTCTCCCCCACTCTTATCACATTATGGAGGTTCTCGGTTGTATCCACCCTCCCTCACAACTTCTCTCGAAAACAGTATTTCCCTTTGTTGAGAAATGTTTGCGTCCCTTTGATACGGTCCCGCCCTCTCTGACCCCCCCCCCTCCCCGCCCGCCCCTCCCCTCCCCTCCCCTCTTTATTGCTGTATTTGAGGCCTGGATTTCATTCATAAACAGCGATCAAGGCTCTTTATTGGAAACAGGTTTAGATTCTTGTGTGCTTGTCGCTTCTTTTTGACACTTTTAGGCGTTCATTTGGGTTCGCATGTTGGAACCTTATAGTTCACTCACAGTCTGTGTAAATAATAGAAAAATAAATAAATATATATATATATATATATATATATATATATATATCATGTGCATTCCTGAGAAGTAAAGGCGACCGGCGTGATGCTGATCACATCACCCACCAAGTGCCGATTGGTCTCTACAAATGTAGATCTAACCATATATTCTCAATACGCCTAAAGTCGTGGCAGAGGGACCTTCACTTTATATATATGTGGTTCATTTGTTAGTTGCGTAGGTATGATGCAGACTGGCTGTTAGACAGGCAGATAGGAAGTTAGACAACAGACTGGCTGTTAGACAGGCAGATAGGAAGTTAGACAACAGACTGGCTGTTAGACAGGCAGATAGGAAGTTAGACAACAGACTGGCTGTTAGACAGGCAGATAGGAAGTTAGACAACAGACTGGCTGTTAGACAGGCAGATAGGAAGTTAGACAACAGACTGGCTGTTAGACAGGCAGATAGGAAGTTAGACAACAGACTGGCTGTTAGACAGACAGGTAGGAAATGAGACAACAGACTGACTGTTAGACAGGCAGGTAGGAAGTTAGACAACAGACTGGCTGTTAGACATACAGGTAGGAAATGAGACAACAGACTGACTGTTAGACAGGCAGGTAGGAAGTTAGACAACAGACTGGCTGTTAAACAGACAGGTAGGAAATGAGACAACAGACTGACTGTTAAACAGACAGGTAGGAAGTTAGACAACAGACTGGTTGACTGTTAGATAAGACAGATAGGAAGCTAAATAACAAACTGGTTGACTGTTAGACAGACAGGCAGGAAGTTGGACAACAGACTGGCTGACTGTTAGACAGACAAATAGTAAGTTATACAGACAGAATGGAAATTAGACAGACAGGTAAGAAGTTAGACAGGTATTACGATAGACAGACAGGTAGGAAGTTATACAACAAAATGGCTGATAGGTACGTCGGACGGGTAGAATTATGTGTGTGTATGTGTGTACGTGCCTGGTTGCGTGTCCATACGAGTGAACATAGGCAGGGACATGTTCGTCTTTATGTATGTTGAAGAGTATGTATGTTAGCTGGTGTGTATATTCAAGCGTGTATGTGAAAGTGTGTGTTTGTGAAAACGTGTGTCTGTGAAAGTCTTCTTCTTCTTCTTCGCGTTCACCAGCTGTAAACTCTGGCGGAAGGTTCTGGTTGCTCGTCTACTACTGAACTGCAGTCCTGCTCCAGAACTTGAGTGTTGCGTGTGCATCAGTTTTACAGATCTCATTCTCTTGAATACAGACTGTTGGTTCCTTGCCTCTCTGGCAGATGCACTCCGACTTCAAAGGAAGCTCCCCAATTAGTTGACTCTTACAACATGCTTTTGGGGAGGCAGTGGGTCTATTCTTGTTTTCCTTACAATGGGGCCCCGGAACCCACACGGGGGGCATCTGTGAAAGTGTGTGTGTGTGTGTTAACGGGTGTTTAAATTATAGTATATGTGTGTGTGTGTTAAAGAGTAAGCATGTTGAAGTGTATGGTTATCAAAGTGTATGTGTGTTACAGTGTATGTATGTTAAAGTATATGTATGTTAAAGTGTACGTATGATAAAGTGCATGCATGTTAAACCCAGGATCTGAAACAAGACTCAAGTCGGAAAGTGGACGAACAACCAGTACCTTTCCAGGGGAATTTACAGCCGGTCAACGCGAAGAAGAGGAAGAAAAAGATTTTAGTTTACCTCTTTCTTTTCATCATTCCTCAGTTCTTTCTTGTTGTCAGCCGACATGGTTATATTTTTTGTAGTCCCCCCTCCACCTCTCTCTCTCTCTCTCTCTCTCTCTCTCTCTCTCTTCCCCCCGACCTTTTCCACCGCCCTTACGTTATTTTAAGAGAACAATCCCGTGTTGCGCCGGGTTGGGCCTCTTTGTGTGCCGATCACTACTGACCCGAAAAACTACCGCTGCCGCCCTACCCCCGCCCTGTCTACTAGCTCAGGAGTGGCGCATCAAAGGCCAGCTCTTGGTGGACTGGCTCAATACCCCGAGTCTTGGACTGCACTAGCTGGTAGTGAGCGGGTCGGCAGCAGAGAAGGTGAGTTAACTCACATGTGTCAGTGACTCCTGTGACCGTTCATGCGTGTCACAGTTGAACATGTTGACTCAGTTTGAATCAACAAACTTACAGTGCGTTGGTTGACTATCTGTTATCCTTTCTTTTTACTTTTGTTTTCGGATTCATTCACTGTACTTAGCTTCTCCTTGCCTGATATTAGAAGACACCTGGCGCAATTTAGAAATGTCCGACTGTTAGGGATGGGCTGCTTCAAAATTAAAAATAAACTGGAGGGGAAAACAAGCCATTGTGTGCATTTAGGAATGATGACGAACATCTTTATCATCAGCGTAAGAGATACAGTAACAATTCGCAGAGTGGGTTAATCCACCAACAGAGTGCGTTAATCCACCAACACAGCGCGTTAATCCACCAACACAGCGCGTTAATCCACCAACAGAGTGCGTTAATCCACCAACACAGCGCGTTAATCCACCAACAGAGTGCGTTAATCCACCAACACAGTGCGTTAATCCACCAACAGATTGGGTTCATCCACCTACAGATTGGGTTCATCCACCTACAGATTGGGTTCATCCACCAACAGATTGGGTTCATCCACCAACAGATTGGGTTCATCCACCAACAGACTGGGTTCATCCACCTACAGATTGGGTTCATCCACCTACAGATTGGGTTCGTCCACCTACAGATTGGGTTCATCCACCAACAGACTGGGTTCATCCACCTACAGATTGGGTTCATCCACCTACAGATTGGGTTCGTCCACCTACAGATTGGGTTCATCCACCAACAGATTGGGTTCATCCACCTACAGATTGGGTTCATCCACCTACAGATTGGGTTCATCCACCAACAGATTGGGTTCATCCACCTACAGATTGGGTTCATCCACCAACAGACTGGGTTCATCCACCTACAGATTGGGTTCATCCACCTACAGATTGGGTTCGTCCACCTACAGAAGGAGTTAAATCAACAACCAATGATAGAATGGGTCATGTTGACAACAGACTCGGACGTATAGGAGTTAAAACAACAACCAGGAAAAGAATCGGATAATTCAGTCAGCACTGGGCCAGCAACCAAGGAAGCCACACAAGTTGTCTGTGTGGAGGGATGAGTTAACTCAATCAGCGACTGGACTAACAGCCAAGGAAGCCACCCAGGTTGTCTGTGTGGAGGGATGGGTTAACTCAATCAGCGACTGGGCCAGCAGCCAAGGAAGCCACACAAGTTGTCTGTGTGGAGGGATGGGTTAACTCAATCAGCGGCTGGGCCAGCAGCCAAGGAAGCCACACAAGTTGTCTATGTGGAGGGATGGGTTAACTCAATCAGCGACTGGGCCAACAGCCAAGGAAGCCACACAAGTTGTCTGTGTGGAGGGATCTCTTAACCAGGCTACGCTGTATCGATCTAAGGCGCGTTGCCATAGCGACACTGGCGCAGTTGGGCCGCATTTAGAAGTGCCATTGATCGGCTACAAAGGGCACCTCCGCCCGCCTGGCTCACGTTCTTTCTCCCCTGTTGATATTCCCACCCCTCCCTGCTCTCTCTCTCTCTCTCTCTCTCTCTCTCTCTCTCTCTCTCTCTCTCTCTCTCTCTCTCTCTCTCACCCCAGCACCTCACTAACCTACTTCTCTTGTAGTCTGTCCGTGTTTCAGGCAAGTCAGTGAGAAGATCCGATATTTACGAGGGAATATGTGTGTGTTGGAGACTCGAATTAGCCAGTTTTAGCTGTTTTTCTCCCCGTAATCGGCCAGTAGTTTGTGGGCTTTTATCACTGCCTCGTTCTCAGTCAGTAATTGTGAATCCCACTGAGAAACTATCTGCTATTTTCAACGTTATTGAAAATTTCCACATCAAGCGTTTCAGTTGCTGAATAATGGATTTTTTTCTCCTGCTGTTTTGGTAAACAACGGACACTTGCGCTTTACGGCAATTTTCGTTGTCTTGGAGTAGAACCGACAAATTCCAATATGTTAGTACCGACACGTAATGTTCGTTATTTGGCATTTTGTATTTCATAATTATATTTATGGTAATTGTTAATATGTGATGGGTAGTTTTATTGATTTGTGAATTATTCGGCCATGTCGTGCCCGCTGTGATAAGTTAGGGTTCTGGAGAGCGCGTGCTACTGGAGGCGCGATGCAGAGATTTAGTACTTGTTTGACTGACCTGTGTCCACCCCACAGCCAAACGGACTGGGGATGGATGAGCAGACACTCGCGGGGATTGAACCTGCCTCTTTGGGTGGGGTCGTGCATTTACATAGTATCTTCTTCTTCTTCTTCTTCTTCTTCTTCTTCTTCTTCTTCTTCTTCTTCTTCTTCTTCTTCTTCTTCTTCTTCTTCTTCTTCTTCTTCTTCTTCTGCTTCTTCTTCTGCTTCTTCTTCTTCTTCTGATCTTATTTTCTTCCTCCTACCTTCCCCTTCCGCGCTTATTATGGTGATCTTCTCCTTGTGTAGAATCGATTGCCGGCATGGTTCATAGTTCAGACTACCGTTTTCTGGCCACCGATCGTTTCATGAAATTGCTGTTATCCCTAAAGCCGTTCTCTTTGCTTTCTGCAGATATCTTCCACTGTGTCACCCAGCCTCTTTTGTCTGGCGTTTTCCAGGAGCTGCCCTATTGCTTTCGTTGACATCAATCATTTCACGTTGATATCAATCATTTCACGTTGATATCAATCATTTCACGTTGACATCAATCATTTCACGTTGACATCAATCATTTCACTTTGACATCAACCATTTCACGTTGACATCAATCATTTCACGTTGACATCAATCATTTCACGTTGACATCAATCATTTCACGTTGACATCAATCATTTCACGTTTTTTTAAGTTTACATTCATTGCTCTGGTCACCAGCCAGTCAACACCGTGCCGTCTCCGCAGTGAAGAGTTGTTACAGGGGATATCCAACTCACACTCTTAACTTTCGTCCGAGTTGCACCCGCTTCGAGACTGTTGGTCGTCCATCTATTGATGTTATCCGCCTACTTGTATCGATGTCTGCCTCATGCTCGTTTACCTTTTATATTTTTCCACCAGTAAGATTTTTACAAAGCCTTTATAAGACTGATTTTTCCCAAAAAAAGTTCACTTCTGTCGCCCTCTCTCTCTCTCTCTCTCTCTCTCTCTCTCTCTCTCTCTCTCTCTCTCTATATATATATATATATATATATATATATATATATATATATATATATATATATATCACACACACACAAGCACATTGAGTTTCTGTCTGCAACTCTGTATTCATGTTTGGTGTCTCTGTATTTGATCATGTTCGTTTCCGTGAAACACGACATAATTGTCTCTAATCTACACTCCCAGAGACTTTCATTTTCTAATGGTATATTTAGTGCCCCTGTTTCATGTGCATCTGTTAAATACCCTTTAACGCTTGATTTTTCTCTTTCTTTGCCTAAGAAATCCCCAGCGTTGTTGTTAGACAAACAAAAAATTACACCTCCACTTTCGCAAGCCCGCCTTCCCTCCCCCAACGCCATTTGATTTCTTCCTCATAAAGCCACATAGTTACAAAACGGAGACATTCAAGCAAGTTTGTGTCTTGGAGTTTGACAACATCGTCCATGTTTGACGCCCAAACAGGCAACAGTGACTGGATCGATGAGCACAATATCAGGGTCTGCCGTTCGGCCGTGCATCGACTACACAATCTAGGGGATTCCTTTGGTTAGCGACCTCGGGGCCTGGCAGGACGCCGACAGCAACCTGGAGTCCGCTGTCGTGGTGGGTGGATGAAGTTCCACAGGGAAGAGTCGGGCAGTGTCTCCCTGGACCAGGAGGCTGCAAGTGTCTTTCTTTGGGATAGCTGGTGTCCGCAACAGTTTCTGATGAACCTAAAACGTGTAGGGCCGTGTGATTGGGTTCTGGAGGCTACTCACTTGTGGATTCCATAACTGTGCGTGTGTGTGGTGTCGACTGGAGGGGCAAGTAATTCCTGCGTGTTGTAGGATTCCATAACTGTGCGTGTGTGTGGTGTCGACGTTAGGGGCAAGTATTTCCATGCGTGTTGTAGGATTTTATAACTGTGCATGTATGTGGTTTCGACGTAAGGGGCAAGTATTTCCTGTGTTGTGGGAAGCAGGCGTGTTAGTTTGACGATGGGTATTGTTAGTGTATTTGTGCCGGCGTTGAGGGAAGCTATTGTGTGTGTGTGTGTGGAGGGGGTGAGGAGGTGTGGGGTTAGGGACAAAAGGGGGGGGGGGGGTAGGAAAAAATAAATTGTGGCGGGGGTGGGGGCTGTCTTGACCTGAGAGACCGAGAGTAGTTCTGCCCATCTTCAAGTGATAGCCGGTTACATGGTCAGTGTGGGGTCATCCGGCATCACTGTTTACACCGGGATGTCTGCGATTTTTCTTCAAGGCATCGGCTGTGACCTCGCATTCAGGCTATAAGTGTTGTCTTGACGTTACGTTTGTTGGACTCCAGCGTTCTTCCGAAATGGCGGGAATCCAGAAATGTACCTATTTCTGACTCACCTGTTCTTTCGATATTTAAAAGTGTGGGAGGTCAATGTTTTCATGTATCTCAACCTTGAGGTCACCGTGTGAGGGGAAAGGGGGAGGGATGTGAGGGGGTTAGAGGATGTGTTTCACAATCCACTGATTGAGCGGACTCGACTATTCGGCTTAAAAAAAAATACCGTTTCTGTGCGTGATTGGGCGGTCCTGAAATACGCGACCTAAATATCTAGAATCAATCAACCATGTGCGGTCTCTATAGTGAAGATTGGTCGCCACCGATCTCCAGCAGGTTCTGTCTTTAGGCCTTGCTGCACACTCAGACCATCGCCTATCTCCTGATGTTGTCTACCCTCTTGTATCTATGTATACCCGTTACTCACCCCCTTCATCTTTTCCAGAGCGTTCAGTTACAAGTTGTCAAGAGTTGATTACGCAACGCGAATCACATCCTCTAATATTACGCAACTTCCGATCGATCAATGATGTCTAGTTTCCCGTTAACCCCTTCCTGATCTAGAGCGGAGTCTACCGAACCTTGTGTCGTGACACACGAGTGTCTTAGCTGCAGTGTGAAGGTGTGTCGTGACACACGAGTGTCTCAGCTGCAGTGTGAAGGTGTGTCGTGACACATTTGTGTCTCAGCTGCAGTGTAAAGGTGTGTCGTGACACATTTGTGTCTCAGCTGCAGTGTAAAGGTGTGTCGTGACACATTTGTGTCTCAGCTGCAGTGTGAAGGTGTGTCGTAACACACAAGTGTCTCAGCTGCAGTGTGAAGGTGTGTCGTGACACACGAGTGTCTCAGCTGCAGTGTAAAGGTGTGTCGTGACACACGAGTGTCTCAGCTGCAGTGTGAAGGTGTGTCGTGACACACGAGTGTCTCAGCTGCAGTGAGAAGGTGTGTCGTAACACACAAGTGTCTCAGCTGCAGTGTGAAGGTGTGTCGTGATACATTTGTGTCTCAGCTGCAGTGTAAAGGTGTGTCGTAACACACTAGTGTCTCGGCTGCAGTGTGAAGGTGTGTCGTGATACATTTGTGTCTCAGCTGCAGTGTGAAGGTGTGTCGTAACACACTAGTGTCTCGGCTGCAGTGTGAAGGTTTGTCGTGACACATTTGTGCCTCAGCTGCAGTGTAAAGGTGTGTCGTGACACATTTGTGTCTCAGCTGCAGTGTGAGGGTGTGTCGTGACACATTTGTGTCTCAGCTGCAGTGTGAAGATGTGTCGTGACACACGAGTGTCTCAGCCTCGGTGTGAAGGTGTGTCGTGACACATTTGTGTCTCAGCTGCAGTGTGAAGATGTG